CAAGAACCCGCAGTCTACTCACCAGGTCATTGCCCATGGCCAGGACCAGATCCAAGAAGGCATTTCCCCTGGTGGGACTGTGCACCTCCTGGGTTAGATAGAGGTCCTGTAACTCGGCTAGGAACCTACGTGAGCAGTCAGACCTGGCTGACTACTCTTCCGAGCAGATGTCCAGGTAGTTAAGGTCACCCATGATGACCTCGTCCCTTGAATTAACTGCCTCCGTGAGCTGACCTGAGAATTCCAAGTCCAGCTCTTCCCCCTGGTTGGGCGGTCTGTAGTAGACCCCCACCATTAAGTCCCTTTCCCCCCGACCCCCTTGTATTAGGACCCAGAGCACTTTAGTCTGCCCCTCCTCTGACCCAGTGCTGTTTGTTGAGGATGTGTATTGCTCTTTGACGTAGAGTGCCACACCCCCACCTTTCCTCCCTGTTCTATCCCCCCTGTACAGTCTATAGCCCTTGATGTTTACTGCCCAGTCATGTGTTGGATCCCACCAAGTTTTAATGAGCCCCACTATGTCCGGGTTTGTGTTAGCTAGCAGTAGGGCAAGTTCCTCCTGCTTGTTCTCCATACGGCGAGCATTCGTATAGAGGCATTTAAGGCATCCTGAAGGTGTATGCATCACCCCCCTAATCCCAGGACTATCTGGGCCTCTGTCTCTTACCTGGCCATTTCTTGTGCTCATTGCCTGTCTTGGCTGGGCTGTTCTTGTGGGTGTCTCTTGGTTCAGTGTTCCATGGCTCCCTCCATCCTCATCTTCCCCTTCCCTCAACGAGCCTAGTTTAAAGCCCGCTGGAGGAGATCGGCCAACCTGAAAGAGAACACACGTTTACCTTTGGGGGAGAGGTGAAGCCCATCCCACCCGAGCATGTCTCTTGTCCTGAAATATGGGCCGTGATCCAAAAAGCCAAAGCCCGCCTTGAGACACCATTTTCGAAACCACAAGTTGACCTCCTTGGTGCGGGTCTCATGGTGTCATCCACATCTGCTCACTGGAAGGACAGACGAGAAGACCACTTGTGCCCCTGTCTCCTTCAGCTTGCTCCCCAGAGCTTGGTAGTTCTTCATCAGGTGATCAGGGCTGCTGCTGGCCGTATCATTAGTGCCCACATGGATTAGGACCATGGGTAGTAATCGGTGGGCCGGATAATGGACGGGATCATCTCCATCACATTCTGAATCCTCCCTCCGGGCAGACAGTAGACCTCACGTGACATGGGTCCTGGCAGGGGTCCCCTTTCTCCTCCCCTCCTCCAGCCCCCCCTTCGCTGTCCCCTACTTACCAGCATGGAGTCTGGGTCCAGCTCCCTGCTGTAGCAAGCGGGGACTGTCCGAATCGCCGAAGCTCTCCGAATCTTTTTCAAATTGCTTTGGAGAGCTTTGAATTGATTCAGACCTTTTAACTGGTCTCCTGATTCGATTTGGATTTGGAGATTCAGCCGCCGAATTGGGCCAGATCTACCCTGAATCAAATCAGCACCCAAAGTTTTGCACAGCCCTAATATTTACATTGGCTTTGCACCACTACATTAGGTGTTCCACCTATCTACTCCCACTCTGCATGCTTCACACCCCAAAATACAGTGAAAAGCCCCCCTCCCAGGTTTTTATATAATTGAAGATGATAAAGCTCACTATTTTTGTAAAAGAATGTGAGATCTACCAAGGAAAAAAGACCAATTAACAACTAATTATTTTTATATTGCTCTTCATTGGAAGATCACAATGAACTTAAAAAAAATATGAATAGTAGGCTAAAATTTAGAATATTTGATCCATAGAAAATTATAACATTATGTTTGAAATATCCCTTGTATTTGAAATATCCCATGAAAAAAATCAACTAAATACTTTGGGAAACTCTGATTCTTGAATTTCCAAATCTTGGGTCATAATATAAGATAAATAATCATTTTATAGGTTTTATATTATTTTATACCAAACCTGTAAGTAATGGGAAGACATAATATGGGCACATACCAAAGTATCAAGTTGTTTCATTACAACAAAAGCAGGAGACGCTTTGCGCTAGAAAAGAAAAGTCCATCTTTACCCGAATCTAAGATAACTTCAAACTGAAGACAACCCCAATTTGACTCTATACATGGAAAATTATAAATGTATGTATAATCACTCACCTTCACCCCCCCCCCCATTTCTGTGGTGAGGAAAGCAGATGTGAAGGGTCCAGGGTCCAGACTCCTAATCCTTGCTTGCCCTGTTGTCTGCTTCCTGTCACGTGGCTGCTGCATTTTGCCCCACTGTCATGTGGCCTTCCATGCCTGTGCCTTGGTGCCTGTCTCCCAACTCTTTGCCCTCCCCACCCCCAGCATGCCTGCTCCCCAATTTCAGTCCCCTAGGCAATCCCTCCCTCACCATTTACCTTCTGCCGTGGCTCCAGGGCAGTCAGCAACAGCCATGGCCCTGGCCCTGCCTGGCACAAGCCTAGCCCAGACAGGGAGAAGGACCAGCAGCTCCCAGCCAGGCCAGATCATAGCTAGAGCAACCATACCTGGAGCAGAAAGAGAGGAGGGATGTCCCTTACCCTGCTAAATGAGCTATCACAATGCTGATGGAGGTGGAAAATCCCTCATCTTGGATTTGAATAAATTCAGTAAGATGTTTCAATACATGCTCAAAATACAATAAAATAATTATTTGACAATTATAGCATGTTAGTATTATATTGTGCTTATTTGTGCTACTACTCCGGATGTCACCAGCTTATATAAACCATAGAAAAATTAAAAACCTTAATAAATTAAATTAAATGTTGCAATAAAATATTGACATTATCTAAAATTAAATTTCAAAATGAGAAACATTTTTAAAATTTTCTATGGGAATTTTTGTCAAAATATATTAAATGTCATTAAATTATAGAGTCCATTGAATGAGTTTCCATCAATAAATCACTATTTTTACACAGCTTTTCTGATCAGTCCTGTGTTTAATGTCTTGGTACAAATAGAGTTGGTTCCAAAAAGTTAACTGAGAACATTTGGGAAGTCAGTGGCAGAGCTGCAGTAAAGTTCAGAGCAGCTGCTTCCCATTCCTGTACTATGATAGCAGGATGATCATTCCAGCCTGTTTGACTTTATCATATTTGGCAATTTAAAAGTACATTAAACATTTAATACAGTACAATCTTCTCTGTCAAACTCAATATGCCTGTTTCTTTTCTCTTCATGACAGGAGTATTACATAATTTTCTTTTTTTATTTTGTATGGGTGAATTACATGTCAGGTAAAGACACATTCCCAGATAGCCACACCTAATTTCCCAGAATTTTGATTGAGGTATAGAGATTACTGTAGCTCATGTGCATTTAAAATGCCTTTTGAACAGTGTGCAGCTATACATTACAGAATTTTATGATGCTGCATATTGCTAAGGGCATGAAAATATATCCTACTAAAAAAAGATATGGCTGGCATATGGTCAGTAATTTTCAGTTTATCCTACAGATATGACATTAGCTAAAGATGCTATGCTGACTGATCTGGATTACCATTTTACACTTGGGTAATGTCATACAAAATAATTAATTTTTCAAATAAGTTTAGGACTTTTAAAAAACATCACTGCAAAATTTACATGATTGGTTCTTGTGAACATCAGTGACTTCCAAAGAACAGTTTAAGACTTTTTAATGGTTGCAGGGACGCTAGGCAGTTTAGAAAAAAAGCCTAAACTAGTCTCTAAAGCTATCCTAATTTCCTCACTTGACACCTACATCAAAGTGAGAATTCCAATCAAAAGCTGACTGCTGAGCTGTGAATCTCATGCTGTTATGAAGTGTATCCAAATTCTTGACCTGTGCTACAGATGTGATCAGTGAGCCATACTTATATGGCCCATCAAGTCAAAAATCTATAAGCAGCAAATATCCCTGAACATCAGTTTGCTCTTAAGAAAGGAAGACACAAGTGCTCAAATCTGTGCAGAAGTAATGAAGGTCATTTCTATAAGATTTTTTGTGAAAGATGTTTTGTCTCATTCCTAACTGATTGTATGCTTATCTATGCCTTATTTTATCCCTAATTTGTAAATCAAGATTCCATACAGAGCTACCTTGAACTCCAAACTCAAAAACATGGCTTGTTGCCAATTTAGGAGACACCACAAAAAATGTAAAAGGTTGTGCTATGATGCATACAAATGCTTGAAGCCAAGATCTAGTCTGTACCTAGAGCAGAGGCAAAAAAGATGGCTATTGGTAGTGCAGTGGGCCAAAAAACCCCACCATAACAAGCACAGTGGCTCCACGTTTTCATGTGGGCATTTCTTGACTAGGAAAAATGCATACCAGCATAGCTAGGGTGACATGGCTGCATTTAGGGATTTACACAAATGTGAGCATTGCCTTGTCTTACGTAAATGAAGTTCCACAACTCCAAGTGAAGAGGTGATTTACAGTAATCAACCATAACTTCAAAAAATAAACCTAGGAGCTTTAAGAAAGTCAGCAAAATGGCCTGCTATCCAAGTCTGTAATGGAAAATATATGGGACTGAATTCTGATAGTGTTCCTGGAGCTCCTAGACATAAATAAGGGCAGATGTTTATTTAAAGAAAGATAAATAAAATTGGAGCTGACTTTCACCAATCAAACTGAAGTACAGGAACTTGTATGTTCCTTAACAGCTAACAATTGCATTGCTAGTGCCACAGTAAGTGATATGCCTTCTTATAATACTCAGCATTGGACAAAGTTTGCCAGTCTGATTTAGAAAATAGAGTTTTAAGCCTGGTCTATCTACATATGCTTTTATTGCCACAAGGCTCTGTCGGGAGTGAAAAAAAAACACATGTCTAGCCAACTTCTAGCCCTGCTAGCCAAAGCCTGAATAGAGAGGCCGCTTATTAGACAAAGTATGTGTTTCTGCCAAGAGTTTGTGGAACTGGAGTTGTAGCTGAGGGCTTGCCTAGAGCTTCCTGATGTGTCCAGGTGTTCTTGATTGTCTGGTCAGCTGCAGCCCACTTCTCCCGCAGGAACGTTGGCGGCTCTGAGCTTCATGAACCTGTGACTGTGCCTGGCTTCTGATTATCATCTATTATTTTCTCTTTGTTCCTGTATTGGGTCTTGCCCTTGCCTGTCTGCTGGTTCCTGCTCTGGCTTGTAATTTTGAGTTTTGGCTCTCAGTTCCTGTTTTGGATCCTGGCAAAATCTTTTCCTAGCACCTGACCTAGAACCTGCCACAATCTGGAACTGCTTACCTTCTGATTTCTATCACAGGGTTTGATTATTGTTCCTGATTCCAGCCCCTTGGGTTGACTCCTGACTTTGTGGGCCCTCCTTTCCAGGTACGTAATTTGGCTTTAGCAATTAAGGCTCCCTCCCATTCTCAACAATAGGTATAGGCACTACTGGCTAATGAACAATCTTGCCAGTCTAAGTGGGAGCTCCACTAGAAAAGGTTGCCAGTTATATTTGCAAATTTTTTCTAGTATAGATAAGGCCTTGTGATTACCAATGATTCTTGTCCTATCAATAGGACATTTTACAGAGTAAAGCACAGCTCAAGATGAAATGGAATGGAGGGCTCTTCCTTTTCAGAAGTAACCCTGCCATTATCAAGTTAAAATATATGTCAATGCACTTTCCAGAATAAGATACAAATGGTTGGGTGGTTTGGACCTTGTTTGGTAATGAATATGGTTTAAACAGCATATTTAAAATGATAATCAAGATCAGGGCCAGGCAGATGGTATTTTAACATATTAATTGAGAAACCCAATATAATTTGAAGTGTGAGTTGGCACGAGTCCACATACAGTTTAACACTGTTACTGTCAAATTATCTGAGAGTGGTAATAACCCCTTTGTTTCTGGTATATCCATTAAAAAATAGAGAAGTTACTTGCAGCTCTAAGGTAACTGCTGGCCTTGCTGACACCAACAGAAAATGCCAGGAATTTGGCCCTAGATTTTGTGGGGCTTTCCCCTTATTTTTTAAATTGAGAGTCCTGGTGCTAATGAAAGCTCTGAAGTGTTCTACTCCTTCACCATTAAGAGCTCTGGTATATAGTAAAAAAGTGTGAGTGGCAGTTCATGCAGCAAACATCTTCCCTATCATGATGCTTATTTAAAACTTTCCTAGGACTTGGGCATCCTGTTCTTTCCCTGACAGACAAAATTATTGTGTAGTCCAGAATATTATGCTTGATAACGTAACGACTATTTCTGAATTCAGTGAAATGATGCACCAGGAAGTAAAACTGTTGTTCATTTATCATCCAATCTTCACTGCAGGTGCAAAACTTGTCAGACATTTCTAATTGGCAGTTTTTGCTTGTGCTTCCTCTATTATTGTGACCTGTTATTTCATAAAATTCATCTGAGAAAATTCTTGCATCTCTAAATCTGATCAGACTTTTCTCAGGAAATGGGTTACATGATATATATCAGAGCCAGGTCTGACTAGAGCCCCTGCAGCAAAATAATTGGAAGCTGTGGGATGTGCAGAAGGACACTTCTGGTTTGCCTGGGCCAAGATAAACTAATTTAATGAATTAACAAAAAACAACAGTTGGCACTGAGAGAGAGTTTACCCTGCAAGTGTCTAACTAATATATATCCTATCCTGAATAAATCAGTGATGTTAAGGAACACTGACCTCTCCCCAGCTTCCCTACATTCTCCTCTTAAACAGAACAAACTTGAAAAGAGCAGTGTCTGTTTTAGATATAACAAGAACTAACTTGCCCTAAGTGTTGCTCATGGAGGGATTGGAAGTTATGGAACTCCCTGTGCCTGTATAATTCAGTCCAAAGCAATTTCATACCTACTGTTGCTGTTGGTGACTCAGAATCTACAGGGAATGTGATTAGTGGTTCTGTTTTTGAATGCCAAGCTTGTTGTGGAAAGGGAATTTTGCCAGTGTGAGTGCCACACACGCAATCTTGTTGTTGCAAGTTAACTAAGAAATATAGACTTGACAGCCTTATGGCAAGTATGCACAATTCCTCCTACAGAACACAGTAAGTTCCAACTGATTCATTTAGGGTGGGCTAGGAAGAGAGACACTGGCCTTAAGCTCATATATAGCAGCTGAATTCAATTGAATAATCCACTGATTCTTATCCACGGTCTTTCAGGTCCTGCCGATACTATAGCTAGTAACCATTCCTGATATAGCTGTCCCTTTTAGAGCTCAGCATTACAGTTAACAGGAATTCTAAGGATACTAAGGACATACCTGCACTTTTCCCCACCTTGCTGGGTTTTCTACTGTGCACATACTGCCAAAATGCACATCATGTAGCTGCCTTAGCAATGGATATATGACAATTTAGCATGCATGAAACAAGGAGTTTATTGGCATGCATTCAAAGCTGTCAGTTCCAGAATTTAGTCTGCATGGAGCAGGGATTGTCTTCCTGCTTTGCTGTACCACTCCCAACCAAGGGTTGGGCCAGGGTAGACAAGAGCATTGTACAGCTGCGTTTGAAAATACTGTAGTAGCAAAGCGTAATTCTATGGCATCCTTGCTCAACCATTTTAGAACTGCTTTGCTTATCTTCTAGTAATCTTTTTTCTTTCCTTTATGTCTATCATGATATATTTTAGAAGTATATGAATAGTATGTCCTCCTCCTATTAAAGAAAAAAAAATAGTACTCTGAGTTTCTAAAGGAAATTATTATTTTTTTCTGTTAGCATGTTATTACCACCAAGAAATGAGCTCTAGTACTTGCCCTCATTAAAGGAAATTTTCCTTCTACACTGTAAAATGGCTAGGTTTTAAATGGTTTTGTTGAACATGAATATGATTGGCATTCTCATATTTTTATATAACTACATGAAGTCAATGAGTTTTCATCATGGTAGATAGATATGCTTACCATGATTTGTGGTAGAGAGTGTGTGTGTTGGGGTGGTTCAATCTTATTTCACAACTGTTCAAATGAAGGCCAGATTCTGATGCCTTGACTGATGCTAAATATATTTTATTCCATCTGGGCCAGATGGTGACACACTTTTTCAAGTGCCTTACGCTACAAGTAGTCCCGCTGAAACCAGTTGTAAAAAGTTATTAAATTTTAAGTGGGGTTTTGAAATATGGCCCAAAGACATTTGTAATTCATCTGAGACCCACCTGTCTCTGTATGATGCACAAGAGAGATAAAGCTGCCTAGGGTAGAAAGATAATGTGGAGACAAGATGGGGAATATGTTGAGTGGGTAAACCAGGCTGGAATTATCTTGGTGGTAATATGAATAACCAAGTGTAGAATTAAGTTTTATTTCTTTTGGTGTTTGCAGCTGTGGTTAAGTGTACCCAGTCTTAACTGCTTTAAATCCACTGCAAATGTAATATGTTCGTGCTTGTAGTGTTAAGATTGTTCTTGGCAAATGCAATCCAATGCAGAACCATATTGCCCCTTTGGCAGGGCATGTTGCTTTTCAAACATGATAAGACATGAAATTGGCACACCCACGCCCTTTTTTTCCCCTTGGTCCCATTCAAAATTAAATTTAAAAGCTTTGCTTAAAAAACGATTCATCTTTTTAAGTTGTTGTTCTTTGTTCTTATTTCTATGAGAACAGCAACATGTAAGCAGGAATCATTTCTTCTGTAAGAATTGACTGAAAACATTCAAAATCTTGTGTGAAAATTCTGCATCCTGTATAACTATATTGACATCAATTAAGCTGCAACAGGAGTCCATAAATGTAGATTTTACCTCTACATTATAAATATCTATATACCTCATCACTGAAGACATTTTATTATTGAGTAAAATTGCCAGGCTTGAGAGTGCTGGACATTCCTCTTAAAAAGCACGTTATCCTCAAACAGTGGCTACTTTGAGTGGTTAATATAAGCCATTGTTAAAAGTGGTGGGGTGGGGGGAGGGAGGGAGCAGGGGAAGAATAATGAACAGTTGTCATTTCCTCTTCTGTGTGTCATGGGATAATTGCTACCACAGAAAGTCAGTACGGTTTAACTGACAGAAATAGATCGTTTTTTACAGTGCAACATGTCAATGGATATCAAAAACTGAAAACAAATGTGAAATATTCTAGGAATGAAGCTATAGGAGTGTGAGGAAAGGAAGTGCTGGAAGTGCCTGATTAAACTAGGAAGTACAGTATAGATTTTAACACCATATAAGAAACTTAGCAGCAAGGAGCCAAAATGGCATTGTGTGCTACTTAATATTTTAACATGTTTTTGTATTTATTATTTTGGTTGTAAACTAAGGTTAAAATATTATCTTGGGTATAAGTTAAGCACTTGAAAGTTGGGAAATGCCAAAATTAAGGATACCAGTGTAACTTTCATTTGGGCCCCTTATAGGTGTGCAGCTGTGAGCTAGATTCCTAGTCTCCCTATACAGTGCATGACACTGATCATCTCATGCATATGCAGCTCTTGGCTTCCTGAAGGGGAGATTTAAGCACCAAAAAATGGGATCCAGAAAACATGGCGTCCTTATCCAAGAGTCATTAGCTGACTCCTACTCGGCTACCACTATATGCACCTAGTTCAAAATCTAAATTCTCAGGATCTCCACTTGGCAGCCTCCAGTCCTTAATTGCCTACATTTTGCCAGTAAAGATACCTAAAAATACCTGGGTGTCCAGACTTATTTAAAATCTAAGGGCACTTAGTACCTATCCCTCATCAGATTTAAAATCTAGCATTTTCTGTACATCTTCCCTGCCACTTGGAATACTGAGGTGCAGAAAGGCTGGCCTAAACACTTTCAAAGGTGGCCAATAATATTTAGTGGTAGAAGGGGTAAGAGGGTGGGGCAAACTCCACTTGAAATACCTTAGTTTCCACTTGGAATCAGAGCAGCAGTCCAGTCCTGCTCCCACTTCAGTCAGTGGAAGTGTGCCCTTAACTTCAGCATGCCCTTAACTTCAACTTCAATGAGCCATAAATTTGTGACTTAGGCAAATAGAAGACTTAAATCCTGTGTGTCTAAACCCCAAGGCCATTCTTTCTGATAAGAGACTGGTTTTCCTTGTAAATGCTTGTCAGAGGGAACAAGATGATTCATATAATATCTTATGATGTAAGTTATGCAAGCTAAAAAATTCTCTTTCTGCTGTAGTTCAGCCTTTTGATTGCTGTCTGTAAGTAGTGTCTTGGATTGAGCTCTGCTAATTGTGTGTTCCCTCAAGGCAGGTATCATTGGCAACCTCCAACAAAAAAAAAACAACTATGCACTTCACTATAGTTGTTCGTTTTTCAGAAAAAAGATTTCCTACCCTCCTTTTAGCTACATGTTGTTTTTTTAGGTTGCATTAAGGAATGAGTTCTTCATTCCAGGCACCGATCCTGGAAGCAAG